GAAGAAGGGTTGAATTTCAGTAGCTTTCATTACAAAGTTATCTTTTGATCATGAACTTTGCTGTCCAGTGACTGAAAAATTAAACCTGGAAAACTCTATGAGTTAAGCCTAAAGAAATATGCACCACCAGTGGAGAGCAATGCTAATGTTTAACTAGCTGAAATAGCTGTTTGCTTAGTGGAGAATGTTAGGTATCTGACAGAAGGGACATCTCTCTTATTAGTAATCAAATAGGGCTGACCAGTTGTTGCCATCAGTCTGGGATTGTGTCAGGCAATTGAGAACAAGTTCAACACTTTATAGAATTTGAAGTACAAAAATCAATATAATTATATTTGTCTTTAGTGTTTTAGCTATGGAAATCATAGAGCAGTGGATTGTTGCCTTGTGAGCTGAATTTATTTATTTTGTATTGGGTAAAAATATTTGAAAATATAAGAATCTTGGTTGACTATTTAATGAACGATAGTACACTATAGCGTTTTTTACTGGTCCATAAGCATATTTCATCTCCCAGAGTTTTCTAGCTTTGTGTTACATATACAAATGTAAATATTAAATTGATTTAAAGCTGAAGCGTTAGAACACTATAAAATAATTAGGAGTGAACATTAGAACAGTATTTTGCTATTATGTGCTGAGTCAGACTTCAATATAGATATGTGGACACAGTGATCATTTTTTGGCTATTGAACTTAAATTGATAAACCTAGAAGTACTTTGCTTTTCTAGAGCATATGTACAATGAAGTGCAAAACAAATAACATTTCTGCAATGATTAAGAATTATGACATATACTTAATGATGTACTTGAACAATAGTGAATTAAATTATATCAGTTCTATCAGTTTTATTGTGATCATACTGAAAACATACTGTGCAATACCACTGACTTTATACCTTTTCAAAACTATCAGAAGTGTGTTTTAATTTGATATTCTAGATGCATGAGAGGATAAAAAAATAAAAAACCATTTGGTTAATGGGTTTACCATGTTTATTTGAATAAGGAAGATTGAAACTCCATTTACGCCTAGCATAAATGCTTTAGAGATCTTAATTATTGATGAAAAATCTGTTGTGCTTCTAAATTTAAAGATATGACAATTTTATAGGAATTTTAATCACCTTTTACATTAGGAATTTTAAAGGTGGGAGTAGTTTTTTTATAATGAGAAAAAGAATGTATATTTTAGTCTTCTTAAAAGAGTTGTCCCTTTTAATTAGATAATACTATTATCATTTTATTGCATATTGTATAGCCCTAAGAAGAGATTTTAATATGATCCTTTCTGTACTTTAACATGTATTTTTTTTTTTAAAAAAAATTGAATGTAGTGTATGCTAAGAGCAATTCTCTGTACTTTAACATGTATTTTAAAAAAAAAAAAATTGAATGTAGTGTATGCTAAGAGCAATTTTTAGCCAATATAATAATAGGGAAATATATTAATATTTTCATAAGATTAATATAGTAGTTTGAGACTATCAAAGTATATTTAAAATTCTTAATAATAGTAAGTTATGTTTTCTTGATCCATGTGTTGTTAATTTGTCACCTGGATTTGTTGTGTTGAATTTCTGTGTTGTGTTTCCTCTTGAGCATCCCAGAACTAATTTCCCCATCAAATTTTTGGGACTCTTTAGTTTCCCATAAGAAGTGTTATCCCTCTGTTAGTTGGCTTTAAAATATACATACTATACTTCAGTGGATCCTTTTGGCTTTTGAATACATTTAGATGATTTTGACCAGATAAGGCACATTTGTCCTGAGGATATGAACGAATAATTCAATCCTGAATTGAGATCTATGGCCATATGTTTGTTCTAGACCAAACTATTGCTCTTTGTGATAGTTTGAATGGTTTTAAACATTAGGAAGAAAGAAAAGCTATACCAGTGTGCTTCAGGTGTAATTATTTGCAAAAGATTACAGTATATTAAATTAATTAATGAAATTATCTCTTCTGATTTTCAGCAAACTTAAATGTGAAACAAAATGGAAGACCTTTAAAAAGCCCTCTATTTACATAATTGCATATCACCTTTCTTTAATATGCAGAAATTTTTATTTGCATTTACTCGCTTTTCCTCATGAAGCATTGCTAAGGAAAAAGTTTTTATTGTTGCATGAATATAATTCTTCTACTACAGTGCATTAGCATTATTCATATAACATAATTTATATAGTAAAGGAAAAAGCCCATAAAGTGTGGTCAGTAAAGAGATGCCAGTGCATGCCACAGAAAAAGGGTCCCTGGGAAATTAGATTGACCTAAAGAAAACCAAATACAAGAAAGGAAAAGGGCCATATTTTCTTTGTGGTATTGCTGAAAAGGATGGGAGTATCATTTTCATAGTGGAATAATGTTTTCTGGGAAAACACAAAAGCAGATGTTCCTCATTAGGAACACCCATTGTCTACATATCACAACTATGAACAGATAAATCTATCCTATTTCAGCCATACATTCCAATGGCTGTAAATGATTACAGGATACCGCTGTAACTGCTAAACCAAAACCACACTGTGCACGAAAATAATTCTTCTATGCCATCATAATATATTTTATTATAAGGCATAGAAATTCCTGTTAAGATACATCCTCTTGACTTTTCCTTTCCTTGTTTGGCTTGAATGTATATGAAGGTGCATTGTCCAACTTTTGAAAACTGAAAAGACTGATTGTGGAGGAACACGGAAAGGCAGGATTACATTACTATCAAAACATTAAGCGGCAACTCACTAGTAAAAGCAATGGCAGATCTGCTTGTGCGCACTGAATGTGCTTGCAATGTATTACTGATAGCATGCTCTGCAACATTTTTCCAGATGGTACTATCACACTCATACTGCTAGTTGGCATCTCTGTGGGTAGTAAATGCCCCCCCTCCCAATAAATCTGGCATTATTCTATAGAGTTTAGGAGACTTATCATTCCAAGTGTGTCCTACTTTCCTGTATAGGAGCCAGACATCTGTTTATCCCATTTCTTTCATACAGAGTTTGGAATAGCTTTAGTTTTTTGGGGAAAAAAGTTTTGTCATATTTAACAGCTGTTACAAAATTTCAACCCTGTAGGCTCTTAAAATACTTTTCAACTGACCTCAGATTTTATACGTAATTGACATTACTTGTAGAAAAGCATTTCCCCCATTTAACCTTTCATTGTCTGTAATTTCATATTGTCTTGAGTAAAATGAGTTGACCCTCAAGCTTAGTTTTATACTTTGGATTCCCAATAAATACCATTAATTCATTTATACTCTAAGTTTACACCTTTAAAGTAATTGTAGAACAGTAGCTGAAGACTGATTGGAGTTTTTTTAGTCAACAGTGTTTCCTTTCACTTCCTGTCACAAAGGTCAAAGAAAGCTGACCTTTGCTGGCAGTCCTAGTCATTGAATTATTCATGTGATTGACTTTTTGTCAGTGCGCACAGTTGTGCTGTGGGACATTTTATTCATTTACCTCATTTAAAGCGCCTTTCTGCACCTGTTCAAGTATTAATATCATGTAATTTGGGCCTAATGCCGATTTTGCTGAACACTCATTATATTTTTTATTAGCTATATTTCCAAACGATTATGTATGATTATTACCAAGCCTTACAAACAGCAATGGGTTATTCCCTAGACCTTTACATCTTCTTGTCAGGTTGTTTTCAGAAGCAAGGAGGATAAACATTTGACCAGTCCCAATGTTTTTATTCCTACTCCATATCCAACCAGAGAACTTAAAGCTTTTTCCCTTATGGCTTTGCGAAAGCATGATTAAATCCAACTCTGCAGAAGCTGTACAAATGCCAGCATTTATAAGGTCAACGCTTTTGTTAAAAATGCTATGTAAATGAGGATCTGCAAAAAGGGACATTAAATAAAATTAAATTCATTGTCTTCTTTAATGTCATTTACATTTTGGCTAAGCCCTGGCCTGTCAAGGAGGATTTTTTAAATAATTTTAATTACACATCATTTAGGGATCCAAGGTTTTCTATTCAGTAGCATTTGGATAACCTGCAAAACGGTGACTGTTTATTAACTTCTTAAATGACAAGTTGTCATTTCATCTGCATAATGTGCTGAAAACAGTACAGTTTAGAGTAAATTTTTTCTTCTTAG